CTAATATCTTTCAAATATTAAATTTTGAATCGTGACTCGTTTAAATATCGTGAAAGTACGACACTCGCTAAAACCATTTTACAACTATTACTATTGTAATCCAAGCAATTTTGAGCCGGTAGCAACATCACTTTACAAGTCGGATCTGGTACAACACTTTGGGTGGAATAACCAATGGGACTTGCTGCTGAGAGATGCTAATATATCTCTTTACAAAATCGAAAGAGAGAAGTTTTTATTACAATAGTATTCTTTGCGAACACTGAAGGATTGATGATTCCTTCATAAACACTATTGAATTTGGACATTAATTTTCAATAATGTGTGTTTTCACTACAATACCTTATCACTTCACATTCCGTACATACAGCTACACATTTTAAAGAGGTTAAACACGTTTTATTGACCATACAATGGACCTCAGAGCAATGATGATGTTTTTCCTTGAAGAAAATTTCAACTCTAAAGAAGCTAGCAAACACATTGATAACTAATTTGATTCACAAAGAAACTACAAAATCTATCAAACCACTGGTAATAAGTAATATATAAATTATTGTAATCTTATCGATTGCGATCGAATATACATTACTACTATCGCGATATTATTGCCTTGATAGTAAGATCGAGATTTCGTAATTACGTGTACATATTTTAAACACAACAGTACTAATGCAGAAAATAAAGAAGAGCCGGGTGTGCCAAACGACTGGAGCCAGACACAGAAATGAGGAACATGGCCTAGTGTAGGTTGGCCACGCTGCATTATCCCCTCAATCATAGTTCCGTGTGGGTGGTTGGATATGATTACAATTTCAATATCGTTCCTAAAATAAGCATTTTTAGAACTTGTTTCGTAATTACCGTTATTAAATTTTCAACAATTTAATTATGCACGAGTTTAAAAATGAATTCTTGTGGTTAAAATTTAATATAGATTCCACCAGATAATTCAGAGAAAGGAAATGTAAATGTTAACCTCAAACACGGTAAAATATTATGATAAATAAAATTAGCAAACAGATGTTTCAGGTCCAGATTTCCGTGCTTGTTTAAGAAGGTAGAATACGACGTAGTAATTAAATAAGTCCTTTCTGAATACTTCATCTTCCTTGACCTTAGAGAGAAAACTTTTAATGTATTAATGAGAGTTTATCTAATTATTTTATTAATTTTTTTATATTAGAAAATGTTCTTTAATTAGTGTCCACGCCCAAGTTCTTCAATATCACAAATCATACACAAAAACACTGTATTTTGAAATCCACTGAAAACAAACAATTTATCAGATTTAAAATAATTCATTTCAAAAGTATTGCTTTTGGGTTTGTTACCCTGTGTAACAGAAGTATTATGAAACCTCCAATGAACTACGTAAAATTTTAAAACTAAATAAGGAACTATAATTGCAAGACAACAGTACTATCGTACTTTTGGGAAAACTTTTGGGTTCAATAATATCTTAATTGACACTTTAAGAACTCTATTTACAACGTTTGACCTTCGGATGGCCTCTCTCCCACAATAATGATACATCCCAAATATCGAAGAAATATGAATTGTGTTCTAACTTGACGATAAGGCAGTTGAGTGCTTTCCACTAGTGTTAAATAAATACAAATACATATTCGTAAACCGGCTCTCGTCAACCATATGCTTGCATGCGATATATGTCAACAGCACAATACATCCTTTTCATCCAAATCTTGTAATCAGTTTATTGTGAAATTGGAGTTTCGCATAATTGTCACACTTTTAAGAAATTATATAAAAACTACCCGCAAAATTAGCAGATCAAGTATTACGAATTTCATTGCAAACATGAATAAAACTCCTGTAAAAACAATCTAGTGGTAAAAAGTGAACGATATTTATCTACGTAATTATCTTAAAAAATAATATATGACGTATACGGAATAAGTATGTTCTACGAAAGTTTTCTTGTGTTCTAGAATCTATATTTCTTAAATTTACTATACATAGTCGAATGATGAATAAAAGTTCCAACAAAAAGCCACTGTAGGAACATTTGAAAATTATAAATCCATCGGAATTCGCACCCGAATAATATAAATCTCAATGGTAGTGACAAACAATGGAAAAATTTGATTTTACAGTGTTGCTAATGAAATAACAACGTAAATCCCTGCCCTTCTCCAAACAAAATTGGCAAAAACAACTAGAGCTAACAAAATGGGAGCTCAACCAAACTTGCACATATTGAAGCTTCATTTATGTCAAACCAAGATTCCAAATCAACATTTGCTGAATGAATCTAGGGAATATGGGCAAAACGAATGATCGAGATGAGGATAACTGATACAGATGCTGAAGTAAAAAGTATTGTATCAAAATATTTTAATTGTAATTGGTGCAACGTGGTCTATTAAATAAAATAGTTGGGTACCCTTATTCTACACCATATTCCGGTTGGAATTTTCACTGTAATGCAGGATACATTCGGTAGTGCTATTTTGTTTTGAGTACTTATTCTGTTTCACTTGGTATATGATGTGAAAAATGTCCTTATCATTACCTTCATACCTTTAATTTTTCTTGGCAGGAGATCACTTGGTTGTTTGTCTTCGCCTTACACTCTATTAAGAAAGGTAAGGCGATCATGTGAGGTGAAATGTAGATGGAGAGGTGAATTCGGATGAGCAAATGTTTAGAAGAAATATCTGAATTGTTCGCAACTTTCACAAGTCTCAAGCAAATAAGTCTCATTTATTTTTCTACAGATGTGAAACCCTAAGCCTTCAGCATCGCATACTAAACAGTGCTTCAATCCTCCTACGCGACGAGAGTTCGGTTTTCAATTTAACGAAATGTAATTTCATAACCAAGATCTTAATTCACTAACGTACAAAAGATAGTTGAGTAATTCGTAAAGTCCATTGCCCTTGAATTCAACCTTCATCAATCCTTGCTTTGTTCTCGACCTGCCCAATGTCGCCATCAGCAGTGGTTCCAAATCAAACGAGCCTCGCTCACTACTGTTCCTAGTGCTACATCCTCAACGTGACAATAGAATCCAAATAAAGATAACTACTGCTTGGTTTTCTCGGTAATTATGAACTGATTCTGATGACTGAGATATGCGGTTATTGAACTTTGTTTTCTCCGCCATAAAATGTCTCTGCCGGCGTCTCAATCGCTTTCCTTGTCTCCCGCTCTTTCTCCATTTCCGTCTCTCTTATCCGTTTGTCCCTCTCTCTGGCGTCTATGTATTTATTAAAAGTAACGGTCGTGACTTGTATTTAACATCTCAATTATTTTTTAAAATTTATGTGATCCTGAGGTTTAATAAAGCTTGTCATTCACTCATTCATTTTATCTTTTTTCTTCTTTCTATCAGTCACTTCTTTATTTATTTGTTGGTTGGTATTATTTTCTTTGCCTTTATACCTGTGCTTCTTTGTCTATCCGTCTCCCTCTCCGATGACATCAGCCTAGTTCGCGTCTTGCCCGCACATGAGCGTTCTCTCAGAACTGCAAGGTGATGTTGTACGATAGATGATGGGTTGTACAAAAGTAGTGAATGAGCCAGTCGTCCACACCATAGGATCTTAGTAAGGGAAAAATAGGAAAAAAAGGTGGCCTGTTGTTGGAGAATTTTTGGGGAAATTGATCGCAGAAAACCAATAAAACGACTGATGGAAGATGCCAGACCCTAGAATTCTCAATGAAGAGTTGATACGGTCTGACCAAACTACTTAGAAGAAACCATCGAAAACCACCAGCATTGAAACACAAATGGAAGACAATAAAGCTTCATTTCTAATTTGCAACTGCATACACTAAGGTCCCTTGTTTTTGTCGCAACAATAAAATGAAAATATCTTTGTATTAAAGAGACGCAGAAACATAATGCCGAACTACTTTTTCTCAGTTTTCCTTCTTCAGACAAGGAAATCTACCCGATTACTTTCTATGAGATATTGAGAGTGGGTTTCCCAAATGCTGGTCCCTGATAACAGGCCGTGGCCGTGGTTCTGGTGGTGATAGTGGTTGTGGTGGTGGCGATGGCAAGTTGATGGTGAGGGTGGTGGCGAGTCGCCTCCGGAAGAAGCTGTTCCGGGAACAGCACGCACTCCCGCCACGCGCTCCATGTCCACTCAGTGACGACATCGCGATGACGCCGCCTCCGTCGCCACACAGTGGGCTGAACTCTGGTGAAAGCTCTGGCAGCATTGCGTCGCGAGAACATCAGATAATATATTCCCGCCGACCACATATTATCTTGCTCAAAAAATTGACAATTTCCACATACTAAATGTGTAAATGTGTAAATGTTACTAAATGTTAAATGGATTTGTGACAATTTTGTTACTTATTTTCCATTTAGACTCTTGATATCCATGTATGCGATTTACGTCTTGAAGATTTGTTTTTGAAGGTGGTATATTAACCAATTTGAGATGCAGTCCATATTTACGATCTCCACCCCACCTTCGTCTTGATATCACTTTCTTTATAACTGGGAAGTTCCTCTAGCTATTTTGCCGAAACTTCATTTGTACTAACGACGTGGGTGTCGCCGAGAAAGTGGTGCGCACTCGGGAGGGCGTTTTGGCAAAGGTATTCTCAACCGGAGTTGACATTTCAAGCCCGTTCTCCGATAACGGTCACGACTGTCTACCCCCGACCCCGAAACATCGTCCTTGGCAGAACCGAGTGGTTTACCGGAGACAAACGCTTCGCACGGGCGGACGTTTCCAATTCTCCGCCAGGGTTTTTACCTGTGTAAACGAAGCCCCATTCCCACCTTTCAACACTGGATACAACCGCTTTCCGGCTGCATTGTCCTTGGTACTAACGACGTGGGTACATTCATGCGCGCGTTCGTAATTGCATATCGGTCCGTCCATAATTGTTGGGTTTATTATTTCGTGTATCGGCCCACTGTGCTCCGCCTCCGCCGCCAGCAGCGGCGGAGAGGGCAGCGGCGCCAGCGTGGGCGCCCAGTCTGTCGCGGCCCAGCAGCAGCGACGAAAGCCATGGGTGCAGCAGCGGCGGCGGCGGTCGTGCTCCTGGGGGTGGTGGCGGCGGCGATGGCGGTGGCTGCGACCACGGTCGGCACGACCACGACTAGATGTGAGTACCGAACGTTCTCCGTTCGAGGTGTGGGGCTGCCTTTGGTACAGCGGGTTATCTGTACTCGGTACCCGTAATTCGAACCGCGACAATCCGGTTGTCAACTACAAACAATCCAATATATTCGGCTTTCAGCTCCGACGGGAATGCCGCTGTATATGACAAAAGCTCCTAAGCTGGATCGTGCGCACAAGAACAAGTTTTTGGTGGAAGCACCATGCACACAATACTGCAAAAATGTCGTTTGGCAATACAAGGTAAGTGGTGAAAAATAATTGGAAATGTTTGTTTTAATACTGAGGGAATGTGCCTTGAGAGTTGTTTTTTTTGGCATTTTCTCAGCTAATATCAGATGAAAATGTGAACGGTTTTTACTAATCATTAATATTAATCAACAAAATACTCATACTTCACGACACCAAGAGTTAATATCTGCAAATAATTATATACTCAAAGATTTTTCTACCCAAAAGAGAATGCAGAGCTATTGCATATTAAACATCTCTAGGTCGGTTGCGAAATTTACGATAATATTTATGTATATCCTATGTAGATAAAAAAGAGCAGGTTGGTTTTCAGCACAGCAAAAATTCATATATCACGAAATTAACTGTAACCAAATACCTCTCGTTGTTTAAGTGATGTAAGGATCTCTGAGGTCACGTGAGCATTACGGCATGGTCATATCTGAATAATAATTGAGGAAATGTTCTTTGAAGGCTGTCAACTGTAAATCATACAGGTATCAAGGAATTAAAAACCTAAAGTTGTAGTTATGAATGTCTGCATGTCTGAACACAAAAATAATATTGAATTTATGATGTAATTAAAGTGAAAGAGATGTAGGAAAGCCTGGAATGTCAGTCCGGACAAGCGAGAACAATCAGATGTTAAAAGCGTAACATTCCATTGGTTATTTAAAATTAAAAGGATTTTAATAAGTACAAGGTGATTTGGTATTACAGCGCTTTTCAAGAATTCGATATAAAAAGATTTTGAAATTTGAGATTTTAAGGGATGCTTGGATTGATGGGTTTCTAGAATTCATGGAATTCGAGAGCAGAAGTGATTCTAGGATTTATCAGTTTCAAGAAGTGATGGTATTCGAAATTTAATGGAATGCGAGCTTTGGTGGGAGTCGGGAGCGAAGGGATCACGGATTTTAAAACGGGAGTTAACAGAAGCCATACAAGTTCCACCCCCTAGCGTACTAGTGAAGCAAACTCCCTGTGCTGCTAGAGATTCGCCATTCGATGCGGTGACAGTGGGAACCTTTCGGTGTCGCAGGAGGTGGGCGATAGCACGTGGAAATGGGCGGATGCAGAGGCGCATTCCAGCTTCCCGGACACGTTCTACCTGCGTCGCCTGCGCCCCGACACCCTCTACGTGCTACGTGCCCTGCTCAAGCCCAGCTTCGGCCCCGCGTACGCGGGCGACGTCATACCCACGCTGGAAGCGCGGACCTGCCCCGGTGAGTTGGCTGGCGATGCGCAATCAACTGCTGCATGGCGCTTTGCATAGTTAGTGCCTTGCGGAAAGAGCACATTGCGCAACGCCCTCGGTGCAGGACAGGAGCATGCAACGAAGACGGGAGGACAGTGAATAATGATGGACAATGTATAATGTTTTTAGGAGTGGGTGTTTAGACGTCTACATGAAGTTAGGTAAATTATTTGAAGACTGAGAGTGAGTAAAGAAAAAAAAGTTCACTGATTTGTTTACATTAATTTAAATATTATTAAAGACTATATGTTTTCATTAAATTGAATTTCACCGTGAATCTTCATAAACAAATGCAGTACTTTCCATTTCTCAAGTATCAATACCTTCTCTGAAGCATAGAACATGTCGGCAAATGTATTTAAATATTGCGATTTTTGATAATAAAACTAGATGCCAAAACCCTCTTAATTGCACTAAACAGCAGCAAAAAGGTGGGTGTACCTTACAATAAATATGGGAATACAATAAATATGACGTACAGTGAACTAGGAGTGCAAAATTTGACGTACATTCGGAATCGGAGTTCTGTCTTTTAAATGACTTCAAATGACGGCCATACGTGCCGAAAGAAAAAATATTGATATTTTAAATTAAGACAGGGCCCAGACAGGGCAAGCGTATGTTAGGGTGGGTAAAATGATTGATTTAAATATCATGAGCTGGCATTCGATTTTTAATGAGGATTTTCTATTTATTATTGGATATAGTTTTGACATTTTCCCCATAGCTTTATTTACTAATGCAAGGATATGCGGTTTCCATGTTAATCTTTTATCGAAGTGTACACCAAGATATTTAATTGGGCCTATATTCCATTGAATCGGGCTGCAATTGATTTTTAAGGTAGGGGGCGTTCTTGGTCTACGAAGTGTGAAAGGAAGCCTAAGGACACGCCTGTGGTATCGTACATTTATATTTACCTTATTAGTCTTTCTTAACAAGACGCAATATAGGAACCGAACTTGGCTCTCACGTTTTGAATATGGGGACTGTAATACATTGATACATCAAGAGGTACAATGAATATTGCACGTACAAAAAGTACGTATTAACGTACGTTAACACGGCCAAACTCACACGCAACAATAACTTACACACGACATAATTTACATAACAACGAATGTCACTAAAAAACAAACAACGTGGGGTGTCCAAGGTCCCACCTAACGAACAGCTTGTCTAACTTACTTCATTCTGCTGTGCTTTATGTCAATTGGCGCAATGGGTATCCGTATGGGAATGGATGCCACCAACTACGAGTTCGTAAATGAATGAGTAAATGAGATAATGAAGGTGAATTAATGAAATGCTTAACGGAGCAACTGCCTTAAAGTTAGAACCAGCGCCTACACGAAGTGACGCCGGGCTATGTGAAGATCCTCTACACTCGGAAGAACCCGACTGGCTTTGGGGGCGCGATGGAGTGAATGAATAAACTAATAAATAAAAGAATGAGAGAATGAACATGAATGAATAAAGTGCAAAACAGCAGCTACCGCCCGTGTAGAATCTGCGCGCGCACTGGCCGGGACCCATCTACCTGGAGGAGCGCTGCAAGCCTACTGAATGAATTAAGGAATGAAAGTGAGTGAATGCCTGAATGAATGAATAAAACGCTGCCCAACAGAGCAACCGCTGCCCGAGGTGAAACTGCGCGCCCACTCGGCGGGGCCCCGCTGGCTGGAGGTGCACTGGACCTTAGTGAAAGAATGAATTAAGGAATGAAAGAGAGTGAATGAGTGCAACGCTGCCCAACAGAGCAGCCGCCGCCCGTGGAGAATCTGCGCGCGCACTCGGCGGGGCCCCGCTGGCTGGAGGTGCAGCTGGACCTACTGAATGAATGGCTTAAAAGAATGAAAGTGAGTGGATGAATGAATGAATGAGTGAATGAATGAATGCAACGCTGTCCAACAGAGCAGCCGCCGCCGTGGAGAACCTGCGCGCGCACTCGGCGGGGCCCGCTGGCTGAGTGGCACTGGACTCTTCTGAATGAATGGCTTAAAGAATGAAAGTGAGTGGTGAATGAATGAATGAGTGAATATGAATGCAACGCTGTCCAACAGAGCAGCCGCGCCCGTGGAGAACCTGGCGCACGCACTGCGGGCCCGCTGGCTGGAGGTGCACTGGACCCTTCTGAATGAATGGCTTAAAGAATGAAAAGTGAGTGGATGAATGAATGAATGAGTGAATGAATGAATGCAACGCTGTCACAGAGCAGCCGCCGCCGTGAGAACTGCGCGCGCACTCGGCGGCCGCCGCTGGCGGAGGTGCACTGGACCCTATTGAATGAATGCTTAAGAATGAAAGTGAGTGATGAATGAATGAAGTGAATGAATGAATGCAAGCTGCCAGCAGAGCAACGCCGCCCGTGGAGAACCTGCGCGGCCACTCGGCGGGCCCGCTGGCTGGAGGTGCACTGGACCTTCTATGAATGACTTAAAGAATGAAAGTGGAGTGGATATGAATGAATGAGTGAATGAATGAGATGCAACGCTGTCCAACAGAGCACGCCGCCGCCGTGAGAATCTGCGCGCGCACTCGCGGGGCCCCGCTGGCTGGAGGTGCACTGGACCCTTCTGAATGAATGGCTTAAAGAATGAAAGTGAGTGGATGAATGAATGAATGAGTGAATGAATGATGCAACGCTGTCCAACAGAGCAGCCGCCGCCCGTGGAGAACCTGCGCGCGCACTCGGCGGGGCCCGCTGGCTGTGAGGTGCACTGGACCTCTGATGATGAAGCTTAAAGAATGAAAGTGAGTGGATGATGAATGAATGAGTGATGAATGATATGCAACGCTGTCCAGCAGAGCAGCGCCGCCGCGTGGGAGAACCTGCGCGCGCAACTCGGCGGGGCCCGGCCTGGCTGGAGGTGCCTGGACCCTTCTGAATGAATGGCTTAAAGAATGAAAGTGAGGATGATATGAATGAATGAGTGAATGAATGAATTGCAACGCTGTCCCAACGAGCAGCCGCCGCCCGTGGAAACTCTGCGCGCGCACTCGGCGGGGCCCCCGCTGGCTGAAGTGCACTGGCCCTTCTGAATGAATGGCTTAAAGAATGAAAGTGAGTGGATGAATGAATGAAATGAGTGAATGAATGAATGCAACGCTGTCCAACAGAGCAGCGCCGCCTGTGAGAACCTGCGCACGCACTCAGCCGGGGCCCGCTGCTGGAGGTGCACTGACCCTTTCTGAATGAATGGCTTAAGAATGAAAGTGAGTGGAATGAGAATGAATGAGTGAATGACTGAATGCACCTTCGCAACAGAGCAGCCGCCGCCCGTGGAGAACCTGCGCACCACTCAGCGGGCGCGGCTGGCTGGAGTGCGCTGGACCCTTCTGAATGAATGGCTTAAAGAATGAAAGTGAGTGGATGAATGAATGAATGAGTGAATGAATGATGCAACGCTGTCCACAGAGCAGCAGCCGCCCCGTGGAGAATCTGCGCGGCGCATCGGCGGGCCCGCTGGCTGAAGGTGCACTGGACCCTTTCTGAATGAATGGCTTAAAGATGAAAGTGAGTGATGAATGAATGATGAGGAATGAATGAATGCAACGCTGTCAACAGGCAGCCGCCGCCCGTGGAGAAACCTGCGCGCCAGCACTCGGCGGGGCCCCGCTGGCTGAAGGTGCACTGGACCCTATGAATGATGGCTTAAGAATGAAGTGAGTGGATGAATGAATGAATGAGTGAATGAATGATGCAACGCTGTCAACAGAAGGATAGCCGCCGCCCGTGGAGAACCTCGGTCACGCACTCGCGGGGCCCGGTGGCTGGGTGGCGCTGGACGCCGCCGGCCAAGGAGGCGTGCAAGAGCCACCTGTACTACCAGGCGCGCTACTCGCTGCAAGGGCAGGTGACGCTGGGGGCGTGGCGCCAGTTCGGCTTCTTCCGCAGCGACCGCTGGGTGCACTTCCGCCCCACGCACCCGTGCGCCGGGTGGCCCGACGAGTTCTGCGCGCTCTTCACCGACTTCGTCAAGGCCGGCGAGCAGCACGTCGTCGAGGTGAGCCACTCTCCACACTTTCTTACATGCTAGATGGCGCCGAAGCAACTCTCAATTAGGTCAATTAGCGGATTATTATATTTTTTTAATATATTACTTTGAATTTGTTTCTCTTTCGAGGATTAGAATGTACATTATTATACATTGGATATTGATATCTTTAGTCGAAATTGATTTACTTCTCTGAAAATTATGAAATGGTGAGAGTATATAAGGGTGTGACAACTCGTGAAAACTAAATTTCACATGATCTCTTGCATTTTATGTTAATTTGAATCAATCTGCTAGCGAGAATAAACATACATATAAACTATTTATGCCAATCAATGATCGTTGTAATATCATAAAAACCACTCGACTTACCTAGTTAGAGTTTTTGATTTTATCAAATTTACGTTACGTTCGTAAATATGCATGTACCATTACTGAGCAACTACAGGGAATGTAACTTAAAATGAAAGCAAAAAAGTAAAAGATTCGGTCTTGACTTGCTGCTACTATTGGAGAATAAAGTTAATACCGTTCGATTCTTATATATCCCAATCCTTCATTTTTCGTTTATTTTATCAACTGACATGTCCTCTTTTAACATATGAATATGTTGGTATTACACGTTTGTGTTTTGTATGTACAGCAATATATTGGCGACTTGAAAACGGTATCACTGCGTTATGTTCTAATATATCCATCGGCATGAAGTTATACATCGGGTATATTCCCCTCTATAAAGCCGATCGGAAATTTGGGCATTTCAGATTCATCAAAAAACCCTTACCGGCAATATTGAAGGGGGGGTTGATTTAAACCTCCAAAGAAAACATGACTAAATGAATTAAAAGATGCATCCTCGTTTGCATCTCCTACCGAAAGCAATAGAATATAAGAAAAGCATCAAAATGCGAATATGGTCCGAATTGATATTCATCACTACAGTAGGGATGCAACATCGATGTCTATGTTTTTAAAACATCGAAGTTTTTGTGGAACCATTGATATATTATCGCCAATGTTTTGTGATCGATGATTGTTTTATTTTCCGGTGTTTTCTTTCTGAATGAAAAATTCCCATGATCACAATACTGTAAAGGTTAAAATATGTAATAATTACTGATGGTAACCCTGTAGTTCATGTGATGGAACCGAAGGAGTGCTGATTGTACAACCTTCATCGACCAAACTCTCTCGCCTGAGATGACATTGCTATTGTATTCCCCCATTCAACACATTCATTTCTCACATTGAGATGTGGGTAACAAATACGCTGTGAGGGTAGGGTCTCTCTTCTTCTCATACTGTTATTCAGCGAATTGATAAAACGAACACTCAAATTAAACTTTAATACACACGAATTTGATGTTAGAGGTTACTAAAGCAGTCTAAAAATATCGATATTGAAGAACATTGATGGTTTTTAGTCGATGTATTTTCAACACGATGTTTTAATTATCAACATCCATGTTTGGTAACATCGATATTTTGTTATCGATGTCGCATCTCTACACCACAGTAGCGTCTCCAACGCCCTCTGGCGGTGCGCAGGTGCGAGTGAGCCGCTTCGACGAGCTGACACCGGCGCTTAGCGCGTCGCGCAGGCTGGTGGTGCGCGCCGACACCGCTTGCATCGTCACCAACTCGTGCGGCGTCATCGGTGGCGCGCCGCCCACCAACGCCTCCGCCCACCCAGACGCCACCGACGACGTCGACCTGGACGACTCCGACCTCACGACCACGCCGGCCACCCTCCCCGCGGTACGTACACGCCCACCTGGTCGCACGCCTCTACTCCGACAAGGGATAGATTTACTATTTTTGCAGATTGGTTTGTACAACCCTGCAATTTACATATTAAAATGTAATTTTAAATTATTATTAAGACAATAATAATAGTAATATGATAACAATAAAAGCAATAATAACAATAATAGTATTAACTCTACAATTTATAGATGTCCTACATAGATATTTTAACTAATAAATTCACTGCACTCCACTTGCACTTTACTTCTCTATTGCACTACACTTCACAACACATCATGACACTCCAATTCAACTACTACTTTAAATATATTTATATATTTAATGAAGAAATGAATTTAATAGTAATTATCACAAAACTACGTAAAATATTAAGAAAAATAATAGAATAATAACAATTTTCATAAGTCTAACTCACTAATTAATAAAGTTAACAAACATAATTAGTTAGTATACTTTTAAATCTTTGTACACCTAGAAGAAAGGGTTACTGTTCGGGACTTTGTCCAGTTCCGACCGCGGTGGATTTTGCGTACTAGCTAGATCAGGGGTCTCCAAGGCATCAAGGGCCACAACTAAAACCTTTAATATGGTTGCGGGCCATATTTTCATTATTTGGACGATCCACACCTGACTTTCCCGTATTGTTCATCTCGGCAGTTTCTCCGGCTGCTCTGAAATGAAGCAGGGAATAATGAAACTATGTGAGATATCAGACCTTACCATGCATAACGCATTGAAAAACATTGGGATTATTTGAATGTCTGAATTTACTACCCCAAAAAATATCCTTTAATTTAAACTTAACCTATTTTTACACCTGCAGAGGATTGAACCCAACAGGTCACGTGCGCTTGGCGCACAATGCTCTCGCCTGACGTGGGTGAAAGGGACTTTCACTTCCGACAAATATTCTTTCGTGGGCCTCAATAAATGGCACCGCGAACCACCAGTTGGACAACCCTGAGCTAGACAGACCGAATTCAATCTGGAGGGGTATTCTAGCGTCCGGTACTCTGATCCTGATTGATTACTTCGTGATTCCAGCAGTGGTCTTCCCCACCGAATGGTGAGATTTGGCGCCGACAAACACGTCAATTTGTGGAGTTTACCCCATCTAAGTATCCCACTAGCTGGGCACCGCCTCAGTCGGGCTAAGCTTTAAGTATCAGACTGGCCTCGCGACGCGTGTGGAAAGAAAGTGTGAGTGTGTGTGTGTGTGTGTGTGTGTGTGTGTGTGTGTGTAAGTAAGGATCCGGCGCTGTATCTCACGTTTCGGCGGTGGACGAACTCTGCCACTAACCTGGCATAAGACGCACTACAGTTACAGGACCTGCTGACCTCAGGATGCTGAAGCATCATGAAACAATGCTCACTCTTGCCACGAGTCGTATCTTAGATGGTCACGAGTAGTTGCATATATTAAAATCGTAATTTGTGAACGATCCTATAAAAATGGAGGATTTTGCGAACCATTAAGCGTGTATGGAATTATTATTTTCTCAATACATTTCAAAAACGTCCAAAAACTTATTTTGCCCGGTACATGACACGTCTACGCGAAGTAGAAGATTGAAAGGAAAGGTGGCTCACGAAAAACCAGCGTGCTTCCCATAACAATGAAGAGAAGAGAAAAATAACGGAATGTTTATAGTACTTTGTGAGGAAAAATATGTTTTCCTGTACAATTTCTATTGAAATATTTACCTCAACCAATCGGTTTTAGCACAAAGCTGAAACCGACATACGATCGCCCGTCTCGATCCGCAATAAACAGACTCTAAAGCGGCATAAATGGTCTTAATACAAGTATTTAATGCTCTTAATATCAAACAACTATTTTGAGTGATGAAAATAAATATGTTAATAAAGTATTTACTTTTTACTAGTTAACATTTCGTAAAAATAGTTCACAGGTCAGTCAGTATACAGAGTAAAACACCTTCCCTTTGCTCGTGAAAAAACTGTGATCATTGAATTGAAACAGTTATACAAAATTACTCAATTCATCAATTCGGTTCTGAGGTCGTGCCATGTCTAATGTGCATTACTTATAATAATCACAATAGAAAAACGTAGCTGATTAATCAGCCGTTATTCTAAAGATGTTGAAAAGTACACCACTGTTACAGTTTTTCAGTATTTTTTTCATGGGTTTGTAGTTCTAGCGATGCCTCCTCATTTAGCTTAGGACAGCAACCTTCGACTTTTTTCTCAATGCTGCAAAATGAATCACTCTGATAAGACGTTGACTGTAGCGGCTGGAAGCGCGTGATAGTTTCTGTGAAACGAGCAATCGCGTCGCATGCTAAAATGTTTATTGCTGCAAGGCTATTCAGCTCCTCTGAGTGTGTGAAATGAATACCATGACTGATTCAGATGTCAAAATGAAAGCTATGGGTTTCGTGCCAGCAACAGCTGTTTGAAGCGCAATGCAAATTTTCTCGGATTGTCTTTCCTTCCCTAGAAAAAGAATCATAATGCAAATAGATGCGATTACTAGATAAGCTCACCTGATGGTAATACACATATTCTTTCCTTCCCGACTAAAAAAATGCACCATTGCTTGTCTACACTTCACTGTGACTAGCATAGATATGTAACCACAACTATCCATAACGTTCAAACCCAATGTTTACGTCCTGTTACCAGGGCTTCACAACCCTGAAAACAAACGTCGCGGTAAACAGGATGAAGAAAAGTAATTGTCATCAGGATGTGACTCAATACAAAACAAGGAAAATCCTTTCAATACATATGTATGCCTATAATATTTTTTGAGGCGTTAGGCATAGGCCAAGACATGGCGATATTCCATCATGTATAAGCATACCGAGAGTGTGGTTTCTCTACGAATGATGTCACTCATGGGCTCCGACATTTCCACTCCTCTACTCTTTTCTCGTATCACTACTCAGTGGTAGATGGATTCAAAAGCAGAATATGATCATTTTTCGGGACTCTATTGTAAACGGCAGCATCCCGTAATTTTTGTAGTTGATTAATTTGCCAAAATAAATTTGTATTATTTTATTAGTATTACCCAATTTTTTCGTGAATTCATTAATTTCAGTACATAAGTATTGTATGAATTTGTACACTGCCCTTAATAAATGACACAGGCACACACAAAAGGTGTCAGACCACAAGACTTGACACATGTTTCTCGTATGTAGACGTGCCATTGTATCTATGCAGGTATGTCGACGCGATGTATCCGAATTTGTAGCCAGAATTCCGCCACCACCCACCATTGTTTTTAAATCGCAAAAACCACCCTCGAATTTACAATCAACAATTTCACGGTGGTTTTCGCAATTTAAAGGTAATGAATGGAGGTGGCGCACTTCTGGCTTCAGATTCGGATTTAGCGCGTCGATACACATATACAAACACGTGTTTAGTCTTTGGGTCTGGCAACAATCTCCGAAAACAAACAAAAAACGAAAATTACAATTTTACGACTTTTTTTCGATTTATAAAAACCTGGAGGGTGATGGCTCAATTCTGGCTTCAGATTCAGATTCAGCGCGTCGACATACATAGAGAAACATACGTTTAAGTCTTTGGTTCTGACAACAACCCACAGAAACAAGAACAAACTAAAATACAATTTCACGGTGTTTTTTCGCGATTTAAAAACATTGGAGAGTGATGGCGGAATTCTGGTTTAATATTCGAATTCTGCTCGTCGACATACATAAAGAAACATGTATAGAGTTTTCGGGTCTGGCAACTTTTTTTTGTGTGCCTGTGTAATTAACGCAAATTATTTTCATACTAATTTTCAATTGTTGTTCGATTCTTCAAAGTTATAAGTGTGTCGAATACGTTCGATTCCCGACTGTTGCAGAATTTTTGACACTAGCAATTCAGTGGCTGCCTGGAAGAGAATTCTAGCGGTTGGCTGTTCTGATTCGTAGTTTTCCAGCGTTTTTCCGATCAATACCAGGCGAATGCCGGAGCAGTACTCTAACAAACGGGATTCGGACCACGCGCGATCTTTGCTTCCCATTCCTTCTCCTGTACTACTGCTTTCTTACACACACTCTTACATGCACTACACGACCACATACGCCGGGAGGCTGATCACGAACTCAGAACTTGTCCCGGCTGGGGCGGTGCGGCCCTGGGGGAGATACGTAGTTGGGGAAAACCCCGCTAGCTGAGGGCGTTGGAACTCGCCATCCAACGGGGGTATACCACCACCATCTTCCGAGAAAAACATATACTACACTTACTGGACTAATGACCTTAGCCGTTGACGCGCCCGGAATTACTAGTAATCAATCAATCATCCATTACCAAAATATTTCTTTCAGTGGGTTTTGATATGAAGTTTTTTATTTCTACGCATTTTGTAGTGTTTAAAGAGGATTGAACATTTGACATTTCAAGCATTAAAATTAAATTTGACATTAATATTAACTAGCATTAAGATGTACACTTATATGTATTCTCTGGCGCAATAGATAGTCTGTCGTAACAAGAGACGTGTGATAGGTCAATAGGACAATATATGCTTCCGGAATGTATCGTTACGACATAGAAGAAGGAAAACAACAACTAAATCCTTAAAGAAAAAAATAAGAAAATTACTGTGGATAGGTTATTGCCTAAGACAACATTCTTCTATAGAGATTATATTGAAGGCACTGACGCAGAGGTCCCAGAGAGCAACAGCTGATTGATAATATAAAGACAAACGAGAGAGTGAAGGAAGATAAGTTCAGTTGGGAGCCATGAACACCGAACACAGTGATGAGACATGAGTCAATATTTGAGTGATATGTGTATAATGTTTGTGATAAATTGAAAGAGTATTTTGTTAATATTTTCTGATGTATAGGTAAGATGTTGTTTATTTATTGAGTTCATGATTAGTTGATTATTGAATTACTGATTTCGTATTTATTGAAACAAAATATTGAAATTATATTTAAAATTAAAGTATTGAATAAATTAGTCTGTTTCAGAGCTACAATGGCTAAAAA